ACAGGCAGCATTTTGCTCTGCAGACTGGAACAGAACATGCAGACATGCATTTTCTTACTCTGAGACTTTGTTATCTCACAAAATATGGATGTGAATTCGTGGAGGGGAAAAAGAAAGGATGTAATGCAGTAAGGACAGTATCTCTACTGGTCATTCACAGCAGCAGGGAGGGAAAACTAAGCTCCACAGTGCCACAAGAATTCATATTTTGCTTTGATTCTGCATAAAAATGCAAAATTACTTACTAGTGTTGAGTTATTCCTTTCCTCTTAATCAAATTCCTTTAGTTTTGGGGAGTCCAGCCTATCATGTGAGCCTATCCAAGGAAGATACTTTATTTTCCAGTATCCTGAGCATGCATTGAGACTGGTAGCAAAGGAGACAGTTCTACTTCTTGTTGCTGATTATGCCACCAAAGAAAAAGGGTGCATCTACTGTTTATACATAGCACATCATTCTAGGCAGTCTGAATATAGTCTAAACAAGGATGAAATTCTTAGAAATCACTGACAGCGATGCACCAGCAGGTAATGGAGTTCTCAGCTTCTTGTTTACATTATACTCTCCATATGTAATTCTTGCCAATGTATTTGCTGTGACATTGGCATGATTATTTGCATCAGTTAAAATGAATGCTAATTTATAATCAACTGTGATTGGAATATTCTTGCAAGGCATTGAATTATTTATTCACCCGAAGAAATGTTCCGTTAATCAGTCCAAGAGGCTAAAGGACAGTTTTAGAATACATAAATATATATATATAAAACTGCCTAAAGATACTAATGATGTCCTCAGGCAATTTTTTAAAAACCCTAGTATAGAGTAAACAACTACATCTCTTTAAAAATCCCTGTTTATTCAGAAACCATTACTCATAAGAAGTTCCTTCCACGTGTATTAACTTCCCTAAAAGTGTTTGCATGAACAAAAATAGTGTAAGTATTGTGGAGGCTCAAAGCGTAAATTACTGTTTTAAAGAGCCAGTTGAAATTAAAGAGACCTCAGAACTGAGAAATAATTATCTGTCTCCTTTTAATTCTAAAAATAATAATTTGACTTGAGCACTTTTTATTCTTTGCTACATTCTCACTGTATTGGCTGAACTGAAGGAGTGCTGCCTGCGTGGCATGTTGGAAAACCAGGCTGCTATAGACTGAATGCATTGAGCAAAACCACTCTCCATCAGTATCCACACAGATGCTTTACTGCTTGACTGGGGCCATCTTGCAGTTTCTAAGAGCTATTAGACATGCTTTTTGTTACAAACTGTAGTAAAAACAAACAAACTTTCAGTGCTTCGAGATGATTCACATTACAGTTGCTGATGCTCCAAACGCTGTGAGCTATACATTTTAAGGAATACATTTTGAGGACTTTTATCTAACTGCAAATGGCTTTTGCTCTTGATGGACAACGTAAGATCTGTGAGTCACCCAGGACACACATGACGGTGGCTAATAATTGGAGAAACCAGCTCTGCGTGGAAGCAGTTGTATAATTTGATTTTAATAGGTCCTTGCCCAAGCCTATTCTTTTCCGTGATGTGAGGAGTACATTCCTGGTGGCTCTGTCTCATGACTAACCAGAGTGATTTCATTGTGAATGGAATACAAAATCTTGTGAAATCCTGCCTCCATCAAAGACATCTCATTTCAGTGAGGAAAAAATTTACCTACAGCATCTAGTTCTGCCCAAATCGAGCCAGTGAAAAGATGAGACTTGTGGGCCCTCTATGTCCTCAGCAAGTGCACAGAGTTCAATGGTTGCCAACACAGCTGATACCAGGAACTTGAACACAAAGGTACTTGCTTATGGCTTTGGGTCTCAGGTGCTTTGTACTGTCTTGTGCAATCTATCTTTTTTATACCTCAGGCTTTTGACAAAGTATTTCCAGCAAAATCAGCAGGACCTTCCCTCAGCTGGTACTGGAGAGAAGGAAGATATCAGAGATAGTTCTTACAAAAGATAGTTCTTACAAAATGTTCTGAATATCTCCTGAGTTTTCTGAGCCTGCAGGACTTTTATCCTGTCAGCATTAGTTGTCATGCAAGGAAGTAAGAATCTGATGTAAAAAAGTCCTGCCTGATCTTTGTGCTTAGGCCATCATCTCCAGCAGCAAGACAAAAGCTTCATGAGAAACTCTGAGTGCAACAGGCTTGGGAACTTAAAGTTGCCACTGTGTTTGGACACACAATTCTGAGAAAATCCAGATTTTCGTGCTAGCTGGGGCTGTTCATTCCTCTTTAAATCAAGCCACTTAACTTTAGAAAACTAATATGAGATCCCCAAGTTTGAAAACTTTGACCTCAAGCTTTGTTTAGGATGCAGGTTGCGGCACAGAGGAAAATAAAAGTGTAACATCTGGTCTGCTTTCATAGCTTCTACTCTAATGCATGGTGGCAAATCCATTTAGCTAAGCTGTACAAAAACATCATCACTTCTGCTTAATTATAAATCTGTTGAATATCATTTTGGTTTTTCAAAAATGAATATGGATAAACAGACTTACCTCTAATCTATATTGATCTCTATCAAGAGATGAGCAGATGATGAACTAGAACCATGCAGTTATATTCTAGTGCATTTCCCATCTGTACAGAAATGGAAAAATGTTTACTGTAATTAACACCAAACACTTCAAGTAAATGATTATGGTAGCAAGCAAAAAGGAAAAAAAAATGTTAAGAGCAAAATCATGTACGAGTAAATGTTGTTCTGTATTGTCAAGGTCAGTTGGCTTCAGAATAGCGAGGGTAGGAAATACACCTCTCCATTTGAGCAATGGCTTTCGTTCCTCCTCTTGGCTATTGTTTAACATCTATGTGCTTCAGTTTTATTGCTTCTTAAATGGAGATAATAGCTCTCTAAAATGGGTCTGTTGTTTTTATCCTGGTACAATACTAGAGAGCAGAAACAAGTCACTGTAATAATTCAGGTCTACCACTAAATTCTGGAAGACACACAGTTGAAGGGCTGGAGAGGTGAAAAGGTGGAAATGACCAGCATGTAATTATAGGAGATAAAAATGGGAAATGACCCCCAGTGCAAAGGCAAAGCGTGCGTCAGCCTTCATTCCGGGAGGGAAGGATCTCACTGGCTTAAGTTCTAAAAAAAACACAAAAACTTGAAATGATACCTTGAAATTTCTGTCTGTGAGGAGAGTAGGGTCTTTCTGAGAAATGCTGCCGTGTCAATTTATTGCGATTAGTTTTCCGAGAATTCCCTACTAGAATCATGGAGCTGTATGTGTCTCTGTTGGCACCTGTCATTCATTTAACCTGTCATGCCCATCTGCCTAGATCTGCAGAAAAAATATCTTTATTCCTTCTGCTCTCTAGTCATCACTTGTCTGATCTAATTCAATCTTCTGTATGAAATATCTTAAATCCAAGTAGCCCAATTAACATGATAGCCATAATGATCTGCATCCAAAGAAAATAAGCCTTGGTGAACAGTGGCTTTGGTCTACTTAGACCAAAGACTTCAGACTGTTTAGACAGTGCTGAAAAGAAAATATGTGTCACAAGAAGGACTTTTTAAAGTTTCTTCAAGAATAGGTTCTATGAAGAGTTCCTTTTCAGCTATTACTTAAATTGTCACAAGTGTCTGGATATTCAAGCCAGGCCCAGGACCAGTCAGCGTGGTTAGCATGTGCCTGACTCCATCTCTCTCCATATTGCCTCCATTAGAGGAAGGTTATTTAGAAAACCACAGAATGCAATACAGTGAGCCTTTCTCTGGAGAAAAGCAACGGCCGCAGTACATTTATCTGTTCCTTGGAGAAGAAAATGTATACCCATCTCCATTTTCTTCTTAATTTCTATAGCTGCAGGAGATCATTATCTTATTTCAATGTCTTATTCCAAATATATTCTGTTTTACAGTCCTATAAAATTCCAAGTAACATGAAAAAGGCTTGTATGCCTATATAGATATGGAAGTAATACTTTGTACATTTAAAGCTAAAGAGTTTTTTTTAGAAAGCCCCATCACTTATTTGTGCTTGCTTACTTGCATTACTTTTCAGCTTGGATAATATCAATTAAATGGTTTATGATTATTTCATATTGAATTTCACCCCAGGCTCCCTCTGCACTAGCATAGCTCTTCAGTGGTTGAGTGGCTGCAGATCCTGTGGGGAGACAGTTTATTTCTTTGTTGGAAGACAGGCTTTCTCTTGGAATTTGTTTAAATTGCTCATGCCTGCTGATAGATCCCAGTCTTTATCACAGAGCCATTAGCATGCAGGCCCTGATACTGTAATCAAGCTGCTGCTCTGCTTGGAATCCCTTTCAGCATCAAAGAGAGAAATCCTCTCCCTGCTGACTGCCGAAAGCAAGGAAGGAGCGAAAGAATATGTTAGAAAATATAAGTTAATGGCCGAAATCCTGCCCCATCTGGTGCAGAAGTCATGGACAGAAAGTGCCTTGCTGTGTGGCCTGGATCACACACTGCTCACCATCGCTGCAAAAGAGGCAACAGACGGTTGCTCTCTTTTCTTTCTTTCTTTTTTCCTTTTTTTTTTTAGGGTAATATTCCTGGGGAAAAAAAAAAAAGTGGGAAATAAAAATCAAGTGCATTACTCTAGTTTCTCTCGCCTCCTGCTAAGTGAAGACGGTGGTGCTGAGAGCAGAGGGCAGGTAATGGGGTCACAGTGTGCTGTCTCTGAACTAATTATACTGCAAAATTACAAAATAGGGATTCGTGACCTCTTTTCCAACCCGCAGTGATCTCCAGGGCTGGGAACGAGGACTTGTGCCGTTTCTGTCCCCTACTCACCAGCTGGGCCAAGAGGGGCCACTCGGTGCCTGACCCGGCTCGGATAAGCCCTGGGACAGAGGTGACCGGGAGCCCTACAGGGCTCCTGCCAAAATCCACACATTTTTAAGCAGAAGGTTTCACCCTATGATGAGACCACCTGGACATTTTTGAGTTGCTCAAGGAAGGGACAGAGGAATCTGCCACTGGATAAATCCATTTTCTGTTTGCTCTTGTAGAAGGAAGGCCCAGGCCCAGGTCACTATGAAGTAAGGCGTGAACCGCCTCGCACCGTGTGCTCATGTTTCCAGTCCAAAGTACCCAGGATGCTGCCAGTCCGCTCAGTGAGTAATCTGAAATATTATCCGATAAATAGTGTGTCTCCACGGCCTGAAATTAATCACTCGGGGTCATCTCTAAAAGAAACAATTACCAAGAATCAGTTTCGGAAACATTTCCTGTGGCTGAGAAAGGTGAGACTGTGGCTGTGGAAAGAAAATACTCTGAAGGAAGGTTAGCTGTGCAGAAGCAACTTTTGGCACTGAGGTTTTGAGCCCTGGTGCAAGCATTTCAGCCGTTTATGTAAACCCAGCTGAGGCTGGCAACCACTCAAATCCTGCTAGTCACGGCTATCAGCGTGGCATGAGCAATAGGTTGGCTGTGACAGTTAAGCTTGAGAGATTTTTCTAGTCTGGGTATACGGGAGAAGAGGGGGAGGACAGAGGCATGCAGACAGAATTATCTTTTTAGGAAGGAAACTCAATTTTGTTGCTTTTCAGGAACAGGACAGGCTGCGGAAAAGCATGACAGCCTAGGGGAGAGAGTGTAAAGGGCTGGATGCTGGGAGAAGCATTTCAGGATAGCAATCTTGGTGAAATGAAAGAAAATTCTTTCTCAACAAACTTCTGGAACAGATTTTGCACCTTTCCACCATTTCCCTTTTTGGGTTAACATACCCATAAATAGCGTGTATTTTCATTAACATATGGCAGCATTGCATAAAACGCTGGCAATGATTAGGCAGCTGTGCTGCAACCAGGCCTGCTCTTTCAGACCCCAGGGCAAATGGAATAGTAGCCTTCTCCTCCTCACTGCACAGTCATTCCCTTCCTTTTCCTCTCTCTGGAGCCCTCTCCTCCCTCCTTAAGTTACTAAAGCTTTAATTTGGGCCAAGGCAGCTGCAAGAAACTGCATCAGGCTGGAACGAGAGGGGCTAAAGCAGGCAAGGGAATGGGATAGTATTAGGGAGCGAGGTCCGTGATGTTCTCTGGTCTGTCTGGTTTCTCTGAACTTCTCAATCCATCTACCTTCCTTCTTCTCTCACTGGGTTTGCCGATGGCCGCTCCTCATAAACCTCTCAGTCACTTCACTCTCACCCTGTCTCTTAGCCTTGATTTTTCTGAGATTTATGCTTCCTGATAAGTGCATGAATCAGTGAATCAAATCCACTGGGTTGTACATGCTTGTAAATATGCGAGCTCTGGAGCTCTTCCTGGGCGCTGATTCTGGGCTCTGGAAGCAGCATTGCTCAGTAGTGCGCTCGAATGGAAGCAAAGAGGGGTGCTGGCCACGGGCAAGTCATTTCATTTTTCTGCAATTCAGTTTTCCCTTTCACATGTAGAGATAACGGCACTGCCATCCTTTGAAGACTACTTCTGAGATCTCTGACTGAAAATGGCTAAAGATACATGGCATGGAGGCTCAGGTCTTCTTTGGAGATTTCAGGCACTTCTGCTGCATCATGCTCAAAAACGAAGCCCTTTTGATTTTCTAAGAGTCCTAATTTGGGAGTTTACTTTTGTACCTCCCTTATTAATTTGATTTTTTTTCCATCTGTACAGGATACACCAGGGCCTGGATCCTATGAACCAACAAGACAGTTTCCAAAGCAGCCGCGAACTATTGCTAGCTTGGGTCAGGAGCACAGCATCTTCTTCAGCAGTGCAGCTGGGTTTTAGAATAAAACACGATCGTGCCAATTTACAAACTTCTCTTCCCGAGTGAAGGCACCGTTCCCTCTCCCCAGACACATTTCCTCATCACATTGGACTTGCCGAAGGAATACCCAAAAGAGCACAATTATTTCCTGCTCTCCACCCAGAGAAAAATGGGACCATTGCTGACAAAAAAAATGACTTTTTAACGGGTAGCACTGCGCACTCGGTGCAAGGGTACTGGGAAAAGTGGTGCCGCATCACGCTCTGACAGCAGGAGACCTCCCTGTCGCTGCATGATGGCCCAGACCCAGGCTCTGGGTAGAGCTGGTTGCGCAGAGCGTCAGCGCCGGGCCCCAGGGATGATGCAGCGGAGCCGGGCCAAGGAGCCCGAGATGGGCCAAGGAGCCGCCTGTGCAGCCGGGAGGCAGCAGATGCAGGAGTTTGCCCGGAGAAGCCGTCCTTGCATGGGCAGCGAGGGCGCTCGGCAAGTGTTTGTGCTGCAGCGAGGGTGCGGGGAAGTAAAGGGGCTAGAAAAGGAGAAATCTGAGAGGAAGCTGGGGAGAAATGGAAAGTGAAGTGAGAGTTACAGGCCAGGAGGTTCAGGGGAAGTGCAAGGTTTTAGGAACTGGGGAGGGGGAGAGGTTGAAGAACTGTTCAAAAAAAGAGAAAGAACAAACCTGAACAAGCTTGTGGCAGTGCAAGTAGGAACACACTTTATGTAAAGAAAAAAAAAAGGCTCTAAAAACTAAGTAAAAGTCCTAATCTGACAACAATAAAATAAGCAAGCTATGGAAATGTATTTTCTGGCAGTTCAGAATTGCACATAGGTCAATGAATAATTTAGTGTAGGAATGTGTGCATTAAGTAATTTTGGTTTTGGGGGGGTCTGCTGCGAGTGGCACTTTCTGCACGGGTTGAGGTTGCTAAAGTGTTTTTAATTCTATCTTTGCTCCTTTTCTGGTACTTGCAATTGCTTATAACTTTTTGAAACTCAACATATTGAGCTGAATTTTTCTGGTCGGTTTCCTTTTGAACTTGGCTTCATGCATGTAGACTAAAGGGAAAACAAGTTCAACCGTTTTCAGTTAGGAGTGAGCATTATTTCCTTGTGTTTAAAGTATGCCAGAAATGCCTTCTGACCAGTGCAGTTGCCTGGCACGGTGCAAGGACCCTCCTTCCTGAGGCTTTCACTGAACACTTTGCAGGGATGCAAAATTTACTTTTTTGACTTTAAAGCAATGGTAAAAACACAGGTTGCTTTCTTGATGAAATGCTACACGTGTGCTGCAGATATGTCAGAGTGCATTCCCAGAGAGGGCTAAAGTTTCATGTTTTTGCTTAGATGAGTGAAATAATAGGGCCTTAATGCAAATTAAACAGAGCACAGTCAAAGGAAAGGTAGAATAAGTTTAAATAAAGTGTATAAACCCAGGCCTTGTTAAATTCACTGCTGCTGCTCTTTGCTGACTCTGTGCAACTGTTCTGGCAGTATTCCTAAGTGCTGCTAAGCTCAAGATGAGATCTGAAGTCTAAGAAGTGGTTGCAGGGTTGCTGGTCTGAGGCATCGCTGTGTGTTCTGGCTTGTTCTGCCAGTAGCATCGCGCAGAGGAGGGAAGGAAGGAGGGAGACGCAGGAGCAAGTGGCATCAGCTGCCCAGTGCCGTGTGGGACAGGAGGACTCGCAGGTGGAGGTGGCTGTGAAGCAAGCACCAGTGACAGGCATGGCTGGTGGCACCGGGTTTCTGGAAGAAATACATTAGGAACTGGCTAGTAAAGCTTGCTGGAGCTATTTATAGAGCCCAGACAGTTTTTGATGAGATCAGGGGAAGCAGTTTGCTTCCGTGACTGCTCAGCCTGGCATAGAAGAGAATAAAGAGAAGTTGTGGAAAATCTGGGGTTGCGCTAACTGAGAGGATTGGGTGGGATGGGGGCATCTCATGCTGTTTGCCACCAGGAGACCTTCCTGGCTGTGCTGTATCCATGTGGTTCCTGGGGCTCCTTGGCCAAGAGAAGCTTTCCCCAAAGTTCTGTGGCTGTGACCCGCCTGGGAGGCGCAGGTCTGGCTCTGCAGGGCCATCAACGTGCGGGTTC